TTTCCTGAACCCACACTGACTATTAGAAAAAAAAATTATGATAATTTAAAATTTGTACTAATCTATTTTTAAGATATTTTTGAAATAGACAGAGTGAGAGACTGAGAGAGGTAGGTCTATAATCAGTTATATTTTCAGAAGCCCCTGATTTATATGAAGAAATTATAAGGGTTTTTTTTTAATTTTGTAGGAAATATTCCAGATGCCTTATGTTAAAAAAATATTTAAAGGTATCGATATAGTTTTGCATGTATTCTATTTACCAAAATCATTGGTTATTTATCAAAAAAAGAGTTATTTTCTTTTATGTTTATTGTATTTTCTACTATTTAATTTAAAGTAATATGTGTTAAGAAGATCGAGTCACTAATATGACATTTATCATTCATAAATATAATATGTGTCACCTTAAGGTATATCTTAGTTCGTGATACATTAGTACCGTGTACATTAATCAGCTGAATTTATTACTGAATCAACTATACGCTAATAAGAAATGATAATGATCTCCGACACCTGCTCTTGGATCGGTATGAAAAAAGTGTACATTGATGTAACACTTTTTTAAAACAAACATCGTGTACGACTACTCTATTTCAAAACGAACGCTTTGGTGTACACTTGATGTGAAATACAGTAGAATCTGCTTAAAGGGAACATTAATGACAGTCCCGAACGAATTGCATGTAAAATTCTTCGGTTAATCGGGACAGTCGGGATAATGGGGACAAATAAGTCACCACTCGATGTGTTCCAATTAAGCGGATTCGACTGTATAATATTCATATTATACAATTATAAAATGAATTAACGTAAATTATTTATTTATCTCATAGTTTACCACTTTGCCCACCATATGTTTTCACTATGCCCTAGCAAAGTGAATAAAATTCCACTTTTAAAAATTTTTCATTTTATCATTAATTGAGTGATATAATTAAATTTTTTGAAGGAATAAATAATGGATTTGAGAAGTCAATTTATGATTATATTAATAAATAGTTATTAAAATAATAGTTTGGACACCATTTTTTGACACATAAAGTTAACCTATGCGTTTTGCTCTGGTCTCTCCCAGGCGCGCACCCAGAATTTTTGCTTGGGGGGGGGCTTAATAATTTTTCTTTTTCCCTTACACACAAGTAAACAATTAAAACTAATTTTTAAATAACCAATTTTGTAAAAAATCGAACAGACTGAATTATCTAAACGAGATTTTCATGCCACAGACAGTCGAAAGTCATAATTATCATTGTTATCGTAGTTAACAATCAAAGTCGATCGTACGTAATCGTTATTGTATCTATAAATCTAAAAATTATTTTCAACGAAATAAAAATCGACGATAGCCACCGTAGAGTAGGTATATTGATTGTCACAAACCTTATCGCGTAGTATTGAACTATTATGTATAATATATTATATGTGTATCTAACATAATAACAAAATTTTAAAATAAAACATTATCATTTATCATTGTTATACTATATTTTCTATAATAATGTGTAATTTAATGAAAAAATATTTTTTTTTTTGGGGGGGGGGGCTAAAGCCCCAAAGCTTGGGTGCGCCACTGGTCTCCCCTACATTTGTCTTGTAACCATACGGAGTACGGACATACGAGATATTACGTACCCATATAATAATATTATCTATTCTTAAATTATGACTTATGCTATAGTTTCTACTTTCTTTGCGGCTCCTTTTAAGTTACCAAAAAATATAAAATAATAAAATAATAATACATCAATGTATAAAAAATAATATTTCTGGAAATCTATTATTTGTGTATTTTTTTTTTTTATAAACCCTATAGTTTGTAGTAAATATGTAGGTACGTAACTAGGTGATTTTTCCATAATGCATTTGAAACTGTTATGAAATCAAATTAAAACAAATAAATAGGTAACAAATACAATTATAGTATTAAATAGTATTAAATTTGTATTTGAATTATGTTTAAAAACAAATCTACTGTGATATTTATTAAATATTATGTCGGTTTATATTCTATAATTAATATGTAATATTATGCTGTTACATAAAGATAATTTTGAGTTTGTTAGTAGGTATACCTTCCTACTTGCTAAACTCTGGAACTACTTATCCAAATTTTTGTGTGTTTAGATCTTTTTCTTTGAACCTGAAGAAATTGCTAATTGCTGTGGTTCGAAATCGAATTTCGTTTTAGATCACCAAAATCTAATACCTAGGTACTATTTTGTTAATGTATATGGTATATATGTATATATTACTACTTGCTATTGGTTAAAGTACTATATTAATTTTATATATTAGAATACTAGGATAAGTAGGATTGGTATTGAAGCAATGAAAATATTTTAATTTTTAGAACAAAAATATAAAAAAGTGGGAAAGTGGATGTCGCTCTGCTGTACAGTAGGTTACAAGTGGGTGATGTTAAATTTGAATGCAATGATATAAAACCATTGTGCAGGAATAACGGTTCAGAGGGAAGACGGTCTATCAGACTATAATATTACTAAGTAGGTATATTTTTATGATATTATTGTGATTAAAGTACCTAATTAATAATAATTGTAGTATTGGGCATTAGTATATAGGTACAACGGTAGGTTATATTCATTTTTTCCAAAAAATTTACATTTGAAAATCTTATATTGTGTATTAAATATAATAATACACTATAAAAGTTTCATATAGGTATACAAGAGTAATATTTTTAAGTTACAACAAAATAACTAAAATCGTTATTCTTAGTTTTAATATGTACTTTCATCGAAATTTAAATTTAAAATGTCTGTAAAAAATAACTGTGTTTCATAATATCATTTATTTATCTTTGGTAATAGTCTGAACTATTTATTAGAATCATTGTTTTAAATTTTCAATACTTAGATATAAATATTGAATATTTTATATTTTTATAATAAGTCATCAGTTATTAGTGGTATTTAATATTTAAAGGCAGGATATCGTGACTTTAATGCACTATTTTTAAGTAGGTGGGTCTAACACCAGCATTTTTTCACCATAACATGAAATAGCGCCAATGCTAAGCCCCCAAAGAGTGATGAAAGACACAAAAATTAAAAACTAAAAAAGACATCAAATGGTAAATAGTATTTCTATAACAAATAATTATGTATGCTACTAGATAGCGCTCATGTCGTATTAGCAAATTCCGGATATTTACGGTCCGTGATATTACGGAGCATGTATTTTTGCTTTCCGGTATTTTACGGTCCTGTAATTTAAAGTCCGGGACATTACAGTCCGTGATATTATGGTTCAATATTTTTGAATTCCGTAAATTTACGGTCCGTATATTTACTTTTCTTGGGAATTTTTTTCCGGATTTTTACGGTCCGTGACATTACGGAAAAATTCCGGATTTTTACAGTCCGCCTTATTATTTTCCGGACATTTACGGTGCCCCGTCTACGGTTATTAATTTTTGAGTTAAAAAAAAATATAATCGATTTATTCCAAATGATTTTGGGGATTTTTTTACGTCAAACCTGACATTATTATTATTCTTAAACCTATAGGTATAGTCGTGAACTAAATAGGTACTTAAAGTCTTTTGGCGATCGTAGTTATTGTTTAAGGTATATTTTTAAAAAACATTTTAATAATGACAGAAAATAGATTATAAATTAATATAATTTATTAGGTATATAAATAAGTCTGTTTATATAACTTCTATATTCTATGAATTGTATTATATTGTGTAAGCTATATTTTTTTAATTTTTTTTAAATAATCAAAATATCAAAATTTTTGTGTGTCCCTCCAAAATTGCTGTCCCCCTATATTGTCCGATTGACTCCAAAACTTCACCAATATTTTTAAAAAAATCTGAAAACATTTTAAAACCTACATTTTAGCAATAATTTTTTTTTTGCAAATTCACACAGATCCCCCATGTTGTCCAATTAACTCCAAACCTTCCTCAATTACTCAAAGTAAAAACCTAGATACGGATGATATCGTTGCTAAACATTATTAATCACTATTATTGAAAACAAGATTACAATTCAGTCATTCTGTACAAGTTATAGGTACCTACCTAAATAATAACTAATAAGTAATAATACTTAAGTGTGCTATGTGATGTGTTGTGTCTTGTGTAGTTGTGTAATATACTTTCATTGTTGTGGTACTTTGTGTGTATGTACTATGTTGTTAAAAAGTGTTAAACTAATAATCGTATATTACTATACAATATATAAATTAATTAACTTATAAACCAATTCAAACCTTATTATAATATTATAATATGACGTGTTATTTTAATTATCATTTTTCTACTGTAGTTTTGTGAAATTTATAAAATGTTAACATAATAACTATAGGTACACAGTGGAGCTTCTTCCATCATTTAGATATTTGCATAGCGAAACTAAAAACATTATTTAGAAAATAAATACTTAGTTCGTTTTTAACGATTCAATTTATTTGACGATCTATCATTATTTGTTTCTAAAAAAATACATTAAACTTTCTTAAAATATTTATCATTGACTAACTACATAATAACAAAATCCCATCAGCCCAGTGTAGACTATATAAATAATTTCTAATTACAAAAATGTTAAATATATTGTCAGCCTTAACCACACTTTAACTATCATTAATATGTAGGCTATTTCTTTATATATCTTTATGATGGAATTATATCATTTACACGTATACAAAATAGAGCAGCTGTTATAAAAATAAATGCAACAAACTGTGTAACCCTTCAAACATGATAATTGCTATAGATGCTATAGATGCTTCAATACTAATATATATATTATATACAAAATATGTAGGTACCTAAACAATTTTTAAACGGTTTTTAATTTTCTTTTATATCGGTCCACTTGATTTAGTATGAAAAAACCATTGATTATATTTAAAATATTATTCCGAATACGGTACTATATGAATGTAACTATTTTTTCAGGTTTATAGCATAAATAATAATATAATACTTACATTATAATACTTGTCCATTTGACTCGATTGTAATGCTTATTTCTATGGCATTCCTTGAACATAAAACCTACCAAGAATTTGTTAATGGTAGTACAAACGAACTATTAATATTCTGTAAATTACTAGCCACCAAAGGAACAAGTCAAGCAACCTACAGAGAGCGTTTAAAATTACTGTCCACGATTTTCGAAGAGGAGGCATGTGTCACAAGCATATTTGTCATCAATGCCAAATGTAATTTGCTACACATTGTAACAAAATTATTGAGTGATATACCATCAGCAATTGAAAAAATGAAATGTGACAAAGGATGCACTTATAATGACTTAGCATCTCCATTTATTATAATTAATCTATCAAATGGAGTGGATTTACTACAGAAAGATATTAATAACTATTAAGTCCACAATATTTTCAATGCACCCAGCGTTGTGATGGCAATGCATCATCATCAAAATATCTCGGACAACATTTATTTATTTATGTTGAGAATTTGAGATGTACTTTGAAAAAAAAATTATGAGTCTGGAAAAATTATCAGTAGAAATAATGGCCCAGGGAAAATGTATGTAAAATTAACAGACTTCTAATTTTGAATAACAACAAATATGATTGGAATTAAACCCTAATACCACAGGTTTTTTTCTAAAATCAAAAGATTATAAATATATGAATACAAATATGACAACATAATATAACTTTAATTAATTATGTGACTATATTATTTTAGGTTGTATATTTTTTAAGAAAAATCATGTTAAAAAAAATTGTATTTAACAGTTTATTTTCTTTAAAATATTAACTTATTAATTGAATATTATTTTTTAGATATTTGTTAGTTGGTGCTGTGAATTATGCTTGTGACCATTAAATTGCATACATAAAGAAAGTGGATTTGGGAAGTACATAATGACTTAACAAAAAAAATAAAAATAATTAAAAAATGTGAAATCAAGCCACATGTTTTGATGTATGTTTTGAGTTATAAATTTTTTTTATATTTTCCTTAAAAATTAATTATTAAATTAAGAAAATATGTTGTAATTTTTTTTTTATGCATAGAAGAATCAGATTTTTCTTTTATATACCAGAAGGTTATGTGTAAATTGTTTTTATATTATATAGAACTAGCAGATATTTTATTCTTTTTATACCAGAAGAAAAAGGTATTTATTAACTTGATATTATGTATTAAAAAGTATTTATATACATAAGCTACGAATGTATTTTTTTTTATTTATAATATATTACAATTACATCAATGATATTGCAAAAAAAAATAATAATTAAAGGTTAGAACCAATGTTAAAACATCGACAAATAAATATTATTACACTCAATCCTAGCAAATATCAAAATAATAATTATTATTATAGGTATTATATTCTTACCTATCACAAGTGTCAGGTTACGTTTTTTTTTTCATTCAATTTTAAATAATGGTTTAAAATAAAACTTCATATTAGATAAGTTGTAAAATTTAAGGAACTCCTATAATATTATAACTAAATACTATTATCTTAAAAAAAATTGTGATTATTATTTTGTTTTTATTATTATTTTATTATTTAATTTATTACTAGCCAGCCCCCTCCCCCCACACAAACATTTTGATATGGAGTTGCAAATTACCAAAATCGGGTTGCCAATAGTTGCAAATGACTAATGAGTTGCAAAATATTGGCATATGTTTGGTGGTGATCGGGTAAGGTCGGGGGGGCAGGTGAAGTTGGCCCCCCTAAAAGTAAATCGTTGATTGTGAGAAAAGTATTTAGTTGCAAATTTCCAAAAGCTTGATGAAAATAGTTGCAAATATGCAATGATGAAATATGATGATCGGGTGAAGTCGGGCCAACTTTACAGACATGCTGTTTGTACGTAAGTGTATGATTTAACTCTAAAGTATCAAAGTTATAAAAAGTTTGTCGTTTATACTTCATTCAACCTACAGTTGATCAAAATAATCAATTTATTTAATCCTGTTAAATATAATTTATATTTAAAAAGTAAAGCAAATATTTTTGCTAACTAAAATGTTTTCAAATAAATTATAACGTCATTTTTCATGCATTAATTAATTATAGGCATTACCTACATATTGATAAATGAATTATGAAATTTTTTAAATGAAAAAATTAAACTTGTCCTTTATCCCTTAGTGAATTCACATATTTATTTAATAAAAAACTTTATTTACTTTTATTGAAACCAAAACATTTAATTTTAAAGATTGGGAAATAAATATTGAACTCAACATTTTTACTTATTACATGAAAAAATTATTGATAATATTATGAGAAGAAAACCACATAATTTATATATAACAGATTATCGCCGTTTTTATACAATTCGTAATGACTATATATTGAGCATATGTTATTATAAATGGTCGAAACTTAAGACATTAGAGGCTATTTAATGATTTATTCTTGTATATCAGATTCTGAATTAAAAATGTGTCGTAGTTTTATTTGTTCTGACTTTGAACTTTTAGACTTTATTAGTTAGTTCTTATCATGAAGTATAAATTTATTTGTAGCCGATCTCAATATTTTACTGTTTATTAAGTAAAAACACATGTAAATGCACGGACGTTATGAAAAACTCATAACTACTATAGTACCTATACCTGCAATTATTGTATTATTGATTTAACAATGATGTGTATTTTTTTTTATTTTTTTTTTGTGTCTGTCATCACGCTTTAGGACAGTAAAAGTTCTTGGATTTTCTTCAACAGTAGCTTTTCTGATAGGAAACTGAATCTAGTTGGTACTTTGGGGGGTCAGTGAAAATTTAGGGAAAAAGTAAAAATTTCCCAGTAGTTTTCAAAAGCAGCGTGAAAAACAAAATACAAATTAAGGAAAAACGGGAATTTTTACACTAAAATCTGTTTTCGAAAAAATCGATTTTGATTTTTGGTGCAAATCTTAAACAAATGACCGTAGGTACATGAAAATTTAACTGAATGTTTATATTAGCATTTTCTATACACGATAACATTTTCAAAATGTTTTGATTTATTTTGAACTGTTTAGGCACATTTTCATTTTACATTTTTTTTTAGTTTTTTTTTCTAAAAATATCAATAAAATGTTATTTGTTGGTTAATCAATCCTTAGTCACAGTTTTTTTTTATAAGCATTTAAAGATCGAGTTTTGACAAAATTTATCAAATTTAAAATTTAATAATTATTTTGTAGTTAAAAATGTATAAAATGTTCAACTTTTGTATCGAAGGATTGTAAATTTAAAATAAGATTCCACGTAAGTTATTAATTCTGTTACCAAAAAATATAAAAAATACATAAACACAGTTTATTTTTATAGTCATTTTAAGTTCAATTTTGGATAAAATTACATAAAAAAAAACCTAAAATAACTATTTTAGTTATTTTGTTGTGATTGTGTAATTTCATTCGTGGGTACTTGATACTTATAAAGTACACTATTTTATATCTATAGAGTATGGACTATGATAGTATCAGGGTTTGTTGTTGACGTATAACGCATTATAAGTACCTAATGGATATTGTGATATGATTCATTTGGAATTCATTATAGGTACCTATTTTAGGTAAATTTTTTTAATACGATAGATAAGTATATAATATGTCTTATACCTAGACTGACATACCGCCTCCGCTCAGAATCGTTTTTATTATACAATGATATAATATCATTGAATTCAAATTTAATACTATCCATTATACAGTGACCCACTTGTAACCTACTGTACAGCAGAGCACCTTTTTGGAGATTGATTTTATATATTATTCTTAATCATTAGAACAAAGACTTTTATATGCAATAAAAACCATGAAATATAAATTTTTTGTAAATATACCCACACGTGCTTGGTCACACTTAAAAAAAATTATAAATTATAATTATTTAGTTAGATAATCATTAAAATTGCTAACTTGAACTACTCCTTAAGACCCAAATTTTGATGTACCTACTTTAAAGTGTGCACGATTTAGATCCAGGATATAACAATAGAAATTTGTAAACGTGTTTCTATTCACCCACTTTTACGGTAGGTACAATAGTTTAAAGTAATTACATGCTGGTCTTATTTATTATTATATTATGTAAAACATAATTTACTTTTTAATTAATTAATTATCATAAACTATCATCTATGGTTAATTTAGTTTTAATACCAATGTCAATTTTGTGTTCTTGCTTAAATTTTGTTTTTAATTGTGATTTTCTTTAAATTAATTAATTATCTATGCTGTCTATTTTAAAAAATCCTTTTTTCACTAAAATTATTAAACATTTTTAATATTTTATGTGAGTAATTGTTTTCTTTTAATTTTAGTCTGTGTAGTAGTATATACGCAGATATACGATTAGAAAATTTAATACAAAATAATGTATGGGTAAGACATATTTTTTTTACTATAAGTACCTAGATTTAACCTTATCCTTATAATAGGTCATATTATATTTTAATTATTTAATTATTCTAATATTTCAGTTGACTCTTTTAATTCTATTACAGAATGTAATTTTATTGTAATAAAATATATATGACTAATTAACTATTTTGTTATAATTAAATGTATGTACATAATTATCATAAGTATTAATGTAGACAAATTACCACCGGATATAATCAAAAATAATATATGTTTAAGTCATATTTTTGTTTTATTATATTAAGTAGGTTTGTCTAATTTAATTCTAATACTTTAGTGGATTCTGTTATTTCTACTTCAGAACTTAATTTTATTGTAATAAAATATATATAACTAATTAACTACTATAGGTATTCATTTACAATGAAATTTTTTTATGTGAATAATTTGTTTTTAAAATTTCAGTCTGAAGCTTCTAGTAGTGGCAGTAGTAGAAATCACTAGAAGAATTAACATGAAATAATGTATCAGTAAGCTATTATTTGTATTATAATTAGCCCTTATTTGATTCTTTATAAATATATTGTCGTCTTTAAATAATTCATTTATTCTAAAACTTTATTGGATTCTTTTTTTTATATTTCAAAACTTAATTTTATTATAATTCAATATCAGTATTAGGTACCTATTAAGTATAAGGTCCTTAAAGGCTGCATTTATTTCCAATGAAATGTTTTTGTGATAATATTTAGGGATCATATTATGTAACCTAAATTGTAGATATTTATCTAGAGTTGATTCAGCCAAATATTTAGGTGTAATATTTGATGAGCATCTAAAATGGAAACCACAAGTTGAATCAGTAATAAACCGCATAAGGAAATGTTTTTTTTATTTTTAAGGAATTACGAAATGTATATTTTGATACTCCCAGACTGAAAATGATATACTTCACTTTAGTCTAATCCATATTAATGTATGGTCTAATTGTATGGGGATCAGCTTATAATATTGTACTAGAACCATTAATTATA